CCACAGAGGATTCCATTCTGAGGACGCGCTGCACAGGGGCTTCTAAGTTGCATTCCATTCTAGAATTCCACAACTGTGGATTTTTCCTTTCTCTCTGCCTCTCTCTTACCTGCCCAATTCTTAGGGCTCTCTCCAAAAACCTTTTCTTCCACCCAGCTTTACTAGACCACTGCAGCTCACTGTGATGCAGCCTTCTTTTACAATATATCCCTTTTCATACAGACCAGGGGCCAGTAAACTTTGCAAAGAGACAGATACTAAATATTTTAGGCTTTGTGAACCAACTGGTTTCTGTTTCAATTACTCAGTCTTGCCATTGTGGAAGGAATGTAGACATACATAATACTTAAACAAATGGGGTGGCTGTGTTCCAATAAATTGTCTGTAGAAAATCAGGTGAGGGGTTGCATTTGGCTCCTGGGTAGTTGTAGTTGTTTGCTGACTCCTGATCTAGACCATTTATTTTGTGAAAAACAATGTCTCCTTTAGCATTATCTTCAGCCATAAAGGAATGTGTTATCATTTAACTCTTTATTATGCATTAATACTTGTCCATGTTGTGTATTTCCTTCATTAGATTGGAAAGCACTTTAGGGTAAAGGATCACATTCATCTTAGATAGCCTCAGAAGTCGAGCAGGATGACTCCAATCCCAAAACAATTTAACTAAGACTTACAGCTTTGAACAAAGAGTCATGGAATCATTGACATTTAGGTAGGTCAGAATGGATTACAGAGATCAGGGGGCTAAGACCTCCCATTTCTCAGATGAAAGCCCTTGAGCCTAGGCAAGAGCCATGTCTTTCCCAGCATGACACAACTGGTCAGAACCAGATCTGATGTGCCCTCAAAAGCTCTCACTGTGGGCTGTGGGGGGTCATGGCCATTTCAGCTGCAGCAGTTACTGGTCCTGAGCCTGCTCTTTGCCAGGCAGAGGACGCAGAGCTGGAGAACCAGAGGGGAAGTAAAGAGTCAAGGTCCCTTTACTCTCAAGATGTTGAACTGAGACAGAGGGAGGCAGACACACCACACCCCTCACATCTCCCTCTGTCCCACCTTCAGGGACTTTTCCCAGGTCGCGTGCACCACACAGTGGTCCTGGCACAAGGTCCTCTTGATAACAATGGCTGCCATCTACTGGGCATTTCCCACATGCCTGCTATTATATTAAGCACTTTGAATGCATTTAATTCCCTTTTTCTCAGATGATCAAGCCATCTCACCACAAACATATTAAAATTTTAATTAAGAGAACACACCATGGCACACACATATCCTCCATTAAGTGTGTCGCTTCATTAAATATCTTGCTGCTGACAGGCAGTGGGAATTTCTGGGTGACCTCAGTCAGCAAAACCCATTTACCTCAACTACATGGGAAAAGTGTAGCGATTTTAAGAGTCAGACTTCAAGGCTTCACCGTGTTCTTAGAGCAGGGCACCCCACTGGGCCTGCTCCCCTTGGTTACCCTCTGGCCATGAGCTTTGGGGGGACATACCCCCACTTCTACACAGACAGGGTCCTGCTCTTCGGCCCCAAGAGCGATGCACATACTAATGCCCAGTGTTCCCCACCCCATCATCTGATGGAATTTCTTATATTACGATGTGATTTTAGCCATTGCCAGGCTAAATACCCATCAAAGGTAGATAAAGAAATGCTTGTACTAAGTAATAAACTATGAGCTCTACTTACATGGTCTGCAATGCATGATAGGCACTAATAGATACTTATTGATCGATCATTCATTTTTCCATAAAACCGTGTTCACACGGTATTTGTAACATAAAACGCACACCATCAATTCTCTGTAAAACTCCAGGGGCTTGACAGCAAGCTCCTTCCCAAAGCCTCAGTTCTCGCTTGTTTATTTTCTGCTGTCTGTATCTGATTGTGAGCCCTCATAGGGGAACAATGGAATGGAGGCTTTGCTCTTGCGCCTTCAGTCACCATGTTAAGATTCAAGCCAACCTTGTCCTGTGGGCACGTGGATGCCCATAAATTGTCATCTAAGCACAGAGGACAGAGGAAGAAGAATCAGTATCATTACTGGGATTCTGTGCTCCGAAAGCTGTGTTTGAAACCGAGTTTACGTCTATTGCAACCTGAATTCTAGGGCAAAAATGACATTCCCCCAGCGTGACAGCATGGTGCATTTTATGAAAGCATAATTACATTGAGCTCGGTGGGGTTGACCTAATCAGACCAAGCAGAAACATGGGAGGTAGAGACCTGGAGGTGTGTTTATTTCCCTGGGGGGAGTGATGGAAAAACAACAACAGAGGGAGCTGGACAGGGAGGGCCAGGTTCTAGGCTCAGCTCTCCTGCTGTAAGTAGAGCAGCTTAGGGAAAATTATTTAACTTCTTATAGAAAAAATGAAGGAGCAGAAAAGAGGGATGCATTTGATGCTCTCTGATGTCTTGTCACACTCTGACACAGGGATTCTCTGGCATCAGGAAACAATGCTTTGATTCTGAATCCAACAACGAGACACCTTGTAGTGGCCTGAAGAGCGTCCGCCCCCACCGAGATATGTCCGTGTCCTAATCCCTGGTACCTGTGAAGGTGACTTTATTTGGAAAAAACGTCTTTGCGGATGTACTTAAACGAAGGCTCTTGAGATGAGGAGATGATCCTGGATTATCTGGGAGGCCCTAAGTCCAATGACATGTGTCCTTATAAGAGAGAGACACAGAGAGGCGAAGACAATGTGAAGATGGAGGCAGAGACTGTGGGGATGGGACCACAAAGCCAAGAATGCCAGGGCAGCCACCAGAAGCTAGGACAGGCGAGGCGTGGATTCCCCCCTAGAGCCCAGACAGAGGAGGGTCCTGGTCACACCTGCAGTGTAGACGTTTAGCCTCTAGAACTGTAAGAGAATAAATTCCTGTTTTTAAAGCCACTCAGTTTGTGGTCATATGTTACAGAAGCCACAGGAAACTAAGGTATAACCCCAAAGACATGCAGAAAGAGTCATTTTGCCAGGAATCAAGCAAAGCAGTGATTTTTTTCAAATTCCATTAAAATTTTCTGAATTAAGACCCCTCTGTTTTTTCTGTTGGAGCTTCCCGCCCCCTGAACATGAACACTTGGTGACTGAGCTCCTGGGACACTGGAACACAGGCAGCTTTGCTGCTCGCATGCCCTGGAAGGACAGATTGCCATCATTCCTTTCCCGCGCTGGGAAGAGAGCCCGCCCGTTGGCCCTGCACCCGCAGGTTTCCACAGCTACGCAGAGCTATCAGAGGCGGCGGCCTTTCACACCCAGACAGTGTTTTTAAGGCTCTCGAAATTGAGAGTGTGGCCTCTGGCGAGCTCTTATATCAGGTCGGGTCCCTGGTCCAGGCGGAAGCTCTGGCGGTGATCCTTTGGGCCTCTGCAGGGACAGGGTGCTGGCCGTCTGTCTTTCTCTTTTCCAGGAACCCTTGTTTTAGGGTGTTTCCTCCCACACTGGGGCAGAATGAGAATAAGCTTGAGACTCAGATGTTGCCTGCTCCCCTTTCCGGCTGTGTGACCCTGGCACCTCCTGAATCCTGCAGAAACTCTGTGTCCTCATTCACCGTGTGTGGGTGATGAGAGCCACTTTGCGTGGCTGCTGCTGATGAAGTATCTGCTAAATAATCGCAGCTAATATTTACTGAATGTTTATTATGCGTTGGGGACATGCTAAGCATATTGCAAGTATTATCTCTTTCATTCTTATCAAACTACTGAGATAGGCTTGAATAGTATGCCCATTTAATACAAAAGGGAAAACAGAGACTGAAAAAAGTTAAATAATCTGCCCCAGGGGATCTAACCAGTTTCGGAGCAAAGACAGACTCATACACAGGACTGAGTTACATAAAATCTGTGCTCAAACCCATATGCCGTATTGCCTTCTGGTATGTGAACACTTTATCGTTCTGGTTGCATTTGTTGTAGTCTTAAGATTACTTTTTCCCCCATAAGTCTCTGCAATATGCCTTTGTTTTCTTTTTTGTATTAGTGTAGAACAATGGTGGCAAAGTATGGCCAACAGGCCAAATTTGGCCCACTGCCTGCTTTTATAAATAAAGTTTTATTGGAACACAGCCATACCTGTTTGTTTCCATATTGTCTATAGGTTTATAACTGCTTTCCCCTATGATAACAGAGTTGAGTAGATACAGCAGGGACCACCTGGCCTGTAAAACTAAAAATATTTGCTATTGGAGCTTACAGAAAAAGTTTGTTGGCCCTGGGGTAGGGGAGAAGACATGAGCTTTGCAGTCAGGAAGACCTGGGTCTAACTAAACCTTGACTTTCACTGTTTCCCATGTTTATGAGGCTGGGCTAGCCCTGAGGCTCTCCGGCCCTCACTGTCCTCTGGGAAGCATGCAGGCTGACAGCTGTCCCGAGGGTTAAATGAGAAAGCCCAGCAGAGCGCCTGAACAGAGCAGGGAAAGTTGCCTTCAATTCCCCTCCTCCTCTTCTCCGTCTCTCTTGCAACGAATCCAGGCAGGAGCATTTCCCGGCAGCCTCTCCCAGTGCTCCCCAGCCTTCCCTTCCTGGAAGGAGGCTGCTCCCCTCTCTCTGGTCCCGGGTGGTGTGCAGGTTCTCCCACCCAAACTCGACCCTGGACATGCATGCCTGCTGTTGCCAACAAACATGCCTGCCTCTTCTTGCAGGCTTCCAGTCTGTCAAAGGCCCGGGACCCTTCTCCAATGGAGAACTGCGACCATTCAGTCCAGTCCGGATGTCCCCCCTCCAAGCTGGGCAGAAATCTGGCTTCCCCAGAGCGAGCAGCCTTTAGATTCTTTGAAACATACCGCGGCTTGGCCCCCATTTTCCTTGACTCTCTGCCAAAACTATTACACGTGTCAGAGCAGCAAGGGACTGGAAGAATTATGATTTCCATTTGGCTTCCGTGGCCGCTTAGTCTCATTTGCACTGGCTTTGAAATATAGCAATTGCTGTTTTTGTTGTTTGGGTTTAGAGGCTGTTTCAAATTCTGTCTCCTTTCTCCCTTTTCTCCTAGCGCTTTCTCTTTCTAGGATGAGGATGGAGGAAGTAGGAATCACAAGTGAAAGCCCAGCTGCCACCATCAGAGCCTCCTCTCCTACGTGGACTCATTTGCTCCAGCACCAGATTTCATTAACCGAAGGGCTACACTGCAAGGCAGAGCATGGTAATGAGGTTGTAGCTAATCAGGACGTATGGAATGTTTGCGCATTAGCTGCAATTCCTTACTTGGGAGGGGGTGTGCTGCGGGGGCAGTTTGAGCAAGATTCCATTACCCACGTGGGGGTGCATGAATGATCCGTGGGTCCCTTCTCTCCAGCATTGCCATGGTCTCCTATTCTCATCCTCCTGCAGCTCCTGCCAGCCCTGCCTTGGTGATCACCACCACGGCAATGAATAAAAGGTCGCTGAATCAAGGGCCGCTCTTGCTGAAGAAAGTTGCCAGTCATTTCCTTGTTGACCAATCGGCAGGAACTTGCCCATCCTTGTCTGCTTGACTTCTTGGCAGGTGAGACACTACTGCCCCTGTCCCCTTGACCTTGAATGGGTTCTGGGGTATTAGTCATACTTGCTTTTCTTCCTCCCTCTCTGGACGTTTCTTCTCTCCCTGTCCATTTTTTCAGGTTCATTTTTTCAGGTTCATGTTTAGAAACATCCTATTGCTACCTAAAGTTAGGACATTTGGGGGATCAAAATAACTACTATAGCACTTCCCAGATACTCGCCTGATTGCCCTGGCCCCCTCCTTTTTCTCTACCTTTTTCTTTTTTCTCTCTTATTCTTTGTACAGACTTTAAATGCCAGTTGCTGGCTGGGCCCTGGAGATACAAAAATGAGGGGCTGTAGCCGCTGTCCTGGAGGACGTCACAGTCTATGGCCTGTGGCCATCACCCCACTTTCCTCCCTACAGTCCATTTCTGAATTTTCAACCAAACACACACTTCTGGGTTCCAAGGTGGCAGAGACCAAAATGTTTCCAGGTTGTAACCTGTGGTTAGGGAAACTCTCTAACAAACTCGAATTTAACAAGAGCTTAGGATCCATGTCAGAAACACAGAACCTGTAAGGATTTTACAGTCCCCAGTGACCAATAACTCATTTAGCAAAAGAGGTCATGGAGATTCAGAGAGTGGAAGTCACTTACCCAACACCACATCACATGAGAGTGGCTGTTCATACGTGGTACCCTTTGAGCATCATTCCTAACCACCATCCCCATAATGCATGAATCTTTAGGAAGGGTCACAGATTCTGTAGCAGAGGCTTCTGATGCTCTGTGCAAGTCCCATGGTGGGCTCTCTGCTACCCCCGGCCTTCCATAGCTACAGCAGGTGTTGGCAGCTAACAGCTCCCATCTGCATTCTTGTATGAATGATTGTCCTTGGCTGATGTTACCACTTGCCCAGAGATGCCTGGGAGCTTAAGCTCCCCACCCACCCCAGGGGGCAGCCCATGCCCCATGACTGCTGTGTGGAACTAAGGCCTCAGCTCTCTTGCATTTGGGCAGGACACCCTCTGTGCTGCAGTTAATACCCAGAGCTCCCGAAGGAATCAGGCCGAGTCTATTCTCCTGAAGTGCTGTTGTGGTTTAATTTCTTTCCTACCTGGCCCTGCTTCCGCACTCCCCTCCAGGTTTCTCCCCACCTAAGGCCCAGCTTCTAGGAAGCCTGCTCTGTGACAAGTGCCACCAGCTCACCTGCCTGGGTAGGCTTCAGGGTCCCTAGCTCTGAAATGAGGTTGTTGGCTTCCCCCATGGCTAGCGGGATTGTACAGGCAAAACCCATGCCGTCAGTGCCCTCTGTATGGCCCCAGAAATCCACACAAAGAGGCGGCCTTCATCTCTCTCCTCTGTCCTGCTCAGAGAGCACTGAAGGCCCTTGAAATATGGAAGTTGAAGAAGCAGGGGGAGGCATTTCTCTGGGAGAGCTATGAGGACGTCTTGACTGGAGTAGAACTGGTTAGAAGTGACTGTCTGCAAGCAGGAGAGCACGAAGCACTGTCTCTCCTCTGCCAAGGCTTAGGCCCCATGGACACAGCACTTTAATTTCCTCCAGGTAAATCTGGTGTGGATGGCATGACACAAGTTAAGTTGCCTTCATCTCAGAATCACTCAGAATTAGATGACAAGAAGGACCTCCATTTACAAGGAGGACAAACAGTCTGGGTTGGATCCAAGCACTTTTCTTTGGTGTGCTTCTCAGTGCACAACCATCTGAGAACTAAGGGAGGCTCACCGATGGCGCATCCCATCTAGAGGTCAGGGTGAAGGAACACTATTTATGGAGGACTTCTTTATGGGCAAGGGGCACTGGCCTTGGGGCAAGGGGGGGTGGGAATGCACAGTTGGATAGGGAAGATGTATTCATGCACAGCTAGATGATGAAATGGATTCCTTGTTTAAATGGAAAGGTTTATTATCAGGAGGACCTTGTATTTCTCTGGCACACATCCTTGAGGTGCTTCAACTCCATTGTCAACTCCCCAGGCTATGCTCCATCCTTTCTTTCCTGGACCAGAGTAATGTCCTCCTCATTGGTCTCTCCACATCCAGTCTTGCCTCTTTTCCATCCAGTTCCAACACAGCTAGCCACAACGAGCTTTTAAAAGTTAAGTCATTCGATGGCATTCCTTTGTGTTGAGTACCTTGCTGGCACCTTGTTGCCTAGATCCCTCCCTGTGTATAGAGGATCTTAGCTCCCTGTACTCTGACCTTGCTTCTTGACTCCACTTGCCTTGGCTTTTACAGCCACTCTCCTTCCTGGCTCAGGGCCTCCCTCACATGCTCTTCCCTCTGCTTGGAACTCCTACTCAACCTTTGGCTCTTGACTTGACTACACCTCCTCAGGGAAGCCTTCCCTGCCCTTCCAAAGCACGTCAGCTTCCCTTCTATAAGCCCTCGTGTGCCCCAAATTCTTTTTTTATGGCATGTGTGAAGATTATTGAGTAAAGAATGTGTAATTGATATCTTGACTGCTTTTTTCATTGCTTATTCTCAGAGCCTATCATAGTGCCATGGACATTGTAGGCCTTTGATGGATTTTAATTGATTAGAATGAATGAACTTAGAAGCTGAATCAGATAAGCTAATCAAATTACACCCATATTTTGATCTCTATTATTCTTGTTTTCCTTGTTCCCTCCCAAATCCTGTGGCTGGCATGGCATAGCGGGGTAATAATAGCAACAGTGACCATAAATAGCACTTACTGAATTCTTTGAATTTCATAGAACATCCCCATGCCATGGCTATCATAGAACATGTTTTCCCTTACTTGCCCCTTATAAGCTGATGGGGGTAGTTAGCATTATTCCCATTTTACAGATGGGAAAATTGATGCCTGTAGGATTTTGGCAGATGCTGACCCAGCTCTGCTGCTTTTTAGCTGTATGAGTTCTGGTGACTCAGGAGAATTCTTGGAGCCTCAGTCCCTTAAGGGCAGGTCAAGCTCTCTCCTGTGTATCCCCACAGCACCTCTGCCTATGCCCACCATGGTGTGTTTCATACCATATTTTAATTTAAAAAAGTCTGTCTCCTGCACCAGACCCAATGCAAATTGAGGATAAGGATTGTGTATTATTCACAAGCACACTGTCCGGCACAAGGCAGGCCCTTGTCTTAGTCCATTTAGGCTGCTGTACCAGAATACTGGGTGCAGTGTAACCGACAGATGCTGAATTTTCATACTTCTGGAGGCTGAAAGTCCAAGATCAAGGTGCTGGCAGTTTCGATGTCTGGTGAGACCAGCTTTCTAGTTCAGAGATGGCTATCTTCTCTCTGTGTCCTCATGTGGGGGAAGGGTGAGGGAGCTCTTTGGGGTTCCTCTTACAAGAGCACTGATAACATTTTTGGGGAATCTACCTTCATGACATAATTATCTCCTGAGGCCCCAGCTCCTAATGCTCTCACACTGGAGGTTAGGATTTCAATGTAGGAACTTTGTGGGGACACAAACATTCAGTCTTTTGCAACCCCCCAAATGTTTGCTGGGTGAAAAGCTAATGAGGCAAATGCATGGGGTTATCTCTCAAATCATGACACTAATATGGTGACCGCTGAATCATCAGCACAGGGCAGGACAAGACCACGGGCTCTGAGTGAGGCTGACCCTAGGCCAAGACCCGCCACCCCCCTGGGCTGCAGCCAGGGGTGCTCCAGGGGTAAAACCTCATTGCCGGGCATACAGGAGGGATTCGTGTACAGATGGATCATTTAAAATTGCTGCTTTAACTCACCTTGCAAGGTCCAGTGGCAATAGCATGCATCTCCATGATTTGTACAAAATTACTTCCCTGAACCATTAAGAATCACCTAATAAGCATTGAGGGAGGCTGCCTCTCATCCCACTATCGCAAACTCAAGTCACTACATCATATCCCTGACTGGGTTTTCTCTTGGTCTGGCTTGTGTATGTCTATTAATTTTCACTTCCCAGGGAGTTACCCAATTAAAGCCCCATGTTTCCTCACCTAGAAGATGGGCGCTGATAGAAAAACTGGTGACAAACCCTTATTTCTGTGACTCTACTTTCCACTTTCTCACGTACCTCCCAGTAAGTCCTCATTAGAGCTGAAGAATTGCTTAAGGAAAAATGTTAATGTTTTTCTAACAATGATTTATCTGTCAACATCTTTCTCCATTTCCTTGCACTTCATTAGAATGACCCCCTATGAGATCGTTTATTCCTCAGGCAACCATAGTGTGTGTGTTGTGTGCATGTGTGTGCGTGTGTATGGATATGTATGTGTGTGTCTCGTGTGTGTACAGCTTTGGGGGGGCCAAGGGTGATCTTGGTGCATGACATATGCAAGAATCAAGTAGCTACACCAGGTTACTATTATTTTTTAAGTCTAATTTCAGTGGGTTCATGTGCCTGGGTGACATTGTTTACACAGCTCTAGTTATTTACGGCACATAGTGGAACTGGGCTAAGAAATGAATTTATAGCCTGAATGAGCCGAATAGATCTCGGCAATCACATCTCCTCACAGCCCCATTAAGGGCGCTCACATCTATGGCTTCATTGCCTTGTGCTTGGAACAGATTCTCAGACATTAAAAAGCCCAAACTTCAAGAGAAACACTTTTCATTTCACACGGACCCTCCCTTAAATGGATCCTTTCTCCCAGAATACCCTCAGTTCACACCATTTAAAACTCCTAAATCGAACAGGTGAAAGGTGTGGATACGAGATGGGAAGACATACGAATGGGAATTAAATGTACAGGAAAGCATTCAACCTCACTGGTCATCAGAAGAAAATACGGAGGTTCCATTTTATCTCTGTTACATAATAAAAATATAGTCGCCATCCAAACATCCCATACTGGCTGGACATTATGTTAATGGCATACTTAGAGACCGTGGTTGGCAGTGCAAATTAGTGAGACATTTTTGTCAGGCAATTTGGCAGGACATAGCCAGAGCTATAAGAGGCTTTATACTTGTTGGCCTGGTACTTTTCCTAATCTGTCTGGATAAAGAACTCCACAGAAGAGAAAAGATATCTG